AAAGACGAGGCTTTCTGCTCCAGTAAGAAGCCATGGAAACCCTACATTAGGGTTGCTATAAGTCAGAATTAACTTGATTGCAGGTAGGTTCGCTTTGTTGGTTTGGAATGTATGATGGGAGGCGGAGTTTAATGGCTCTGATGGAGGACCAGCCCTACATAAGCCTGTGGGGTAGGAAGAGGCTGTGTTTGACCTCTAGCTCCTGACTTCCCTAGATGCTCCCACCCCAATTTCTGCCTGGTGTTCTCGGAAGTCACCTACATCTGCCAGCAGGAGGAATATCTGTGGGGCACGTTCACAGAGTAATGCCCATACCAGGAGGACAGGAGGCCTTGCACTTCAGAGTAGACTCCCAAGTAGTGACTCACTCAGAGTGGGATTTCAGAAAGTAGACTTTGCCGGGAGCTTGATCTTGAGGAACCCTTCCTGGTGCACCTAAAGTCACACAGGTAAGGGTCTTACGAGATGACAGTAGAATTTTAACACACTTTATGCTTAAACTGTTGTTCTTATTTTTTTTTTTCTGTGGCTATAAGCAGGGAACCAACACCTTGAGCTTCTAATAGAGGAAAGAAGACAGATCCCAAGACTGTTAGATCTTTTTGAGCTTGCATTTCCCTGGGAAGGTTCTTAACAGACAAGCAAGAATACAAATCATTGTATCTTATTGCTGCCAGAAATGCCTTTTCTTTTGGACTCTTTCAGGTCAACGTGATAGAGGACGCAATTCAGAAATACCATAATACATCTGCTTGCAACATTTGCTAAGTATTTGCTGTGTGCCTTAGGTCTCTGGGTTACAAATGTTTGTCCTCTACTGTTGTTGTTTAGGTGTCATTGAGTCAGTTCTGACTCATAGTGACCCTATGTACAACAGTTGACCCTCCACTTTACCAAGCATGATGTCCTTCTCCAGGGAGTAGTCCCTGCTGAAGTATGAGACGAAGTCTGGCCATCCTGGCTTCCAAAAAGCATTCTAGCTATACTTCTTCCAATCCTGATTTAGTAGGTCTTATGGCAGCCTGGGGTACTTTCAGTGTTCTTCTCCAACACCGTAATTCAAGCGCATCAAATCTTCTATGGTCTTCCTTCTTTACTGTCAATGTTCACATGCATATGAGGCTATTGAACATACCGTGACTTGGGTCATGTGCACCTCAAACTGTTATCTTTGCCTTTGAACACTTTAAAGAAATCTTGTGCAGCAGATTTACCTAATGCCCTTAACTACTAATGTAAAAATCACCTCACATGTATGTGAAAGTTAGACAATGAATAAGAATGATTAGAGAAGAATGTATGCATTTGAATTATGGTGCTGGAGAAAAATATTAAAGCATATGACTGCCAGAAAAACAGACAAATCTATGCTGGAAGAATGCTCCTTAGAAGCCAAGATGGTGAGACCTCATCTCTCATACTTCAGACATATTATCAGGAGGAACCAGTCCTTAGAGAAGGACATTATGTTTGGTAAAGTGGAGGGTCAACAACAAAAAGGAAGCCCCTCCACAAGATGGATTACCAGAGGGGCAGCAACAATGGGCTCAAACCTAACAACAATTGTGAGAATGGTGTAGGACCAGGCAGTGTCTCATTCTGTTGTAAGTATAGTCACTCTAAGTTAGAACCGACTCAACTCAACAGCATTGAACAACAACATTAACCTAAAGGTTGGCAGTTTGAGCCCACCCAGGAATGTCCTGGAAACTTGATTCCAAAAAGATTATGCACAAGAAAACCCTATGGGACAACTCTACTCTGTAACACATGGGGCTGCCACGAGTCTGAATTGACTCAATGGCAAAACACACACACACATATGTTTTATTCTTCACTGTGTGTCTTATAAGGAGATCTGGTAACGTAGTGGTTACAAATTGGGCTGTTAACCTCAGGGTCAGCAGTTTGAAACCACCAGCTGTTCCGCAGGAAAAAGATGAAGCTTTCTGCTCCCGTAAAGATTTACAGCCTGTACAGGTTTGCTATGAGTCGGAATCGACTCCATGGTGCATAACCACTACTACCACCACCTTGTGTCTTGTACTATTCTGATCATTTTCCATTTTCAAATCAAGAGCCTATTAGTAGATTATCACCCCATTTTATACACTAGGAGTCCTAAGACCACAGCAAGCTCATGCTAGAGCAGGACTTGAACCTAAGCTGCCCAGCTCCGGATCTTTTAGCTTCCCACTATCCTTCTTCCAACACAACCAGAGTGCCTCTACTGTCCTCAGTGGACTTTCCCACAGAAGGAGTGAGCCACGTCACAGTGAAAAAGGAAGACAGTGTGCTACAAAGGCTAACCCAACTCTTTTTTGTTTTGCAGGTTTGGGAGGGGCCCTGGGCTATGTTTTGGGTGCCATAGACTGGGCCCACCTGGAACTGGGAAGAGTGCTGGGCACGGAGTTCCAGGTCATGTTCTTCTTCTCCGTCTTGGTACTCACCCTGTGTGTTAGCATTCACCTCTGCAGTATTCCGGAAGCTCCACTCCAAGGCACTGCCAAGGATCTTTCCAGACAGCTAGCCCCTAACAACCCTCTGCTGTCCTCGGTCAAAATGTGTCAGCACGGTTCTATTGAGAAAGTGAAAAATGGTTATGTAAACCCAGAGCTGGCAACACAGGGAGAAAAAAACAAAAATCTTGCTGAACAGGTAAATATGCAAATTCTTTTGTCTTCATCTGAACAAAAAAATCCTTTTTCTTGCACTCTCTCTTCAGTTTTTTAAAAAATGATTGCTTGTTACCTTTGTTTTGTTCATATGATGTGAAGAGTCTTGTGAAGTATAACTAAATTCTCAGATGCCTCATAGTTATTATTCCTTGGCAGAGTCCCGGTGTGGTGCTGTGGGTTAATGTGCCAGACTGCAAAGCCATTTGAACTGCAAGGTCGGTGGTTCATGCTCACCAGCTGCTCCTCGGAAACCCTGTCAGGGTCACTACAGGTCGGAATAGACTCGATGGCACTTAACAACAACAATTATTACTTGGCATTTAAGGGAGCGCATGGGATGGTATGATAAGTACAGGACTGTGAACTACAGGGTCAGAAGTTCAAGCCCACTAGCCGCTCCATGAGAGAAAGATATGGCTTTCTGCTCCTGCAAAGATTGTTTATTAAGTCTCAGAAACCTTAGACAGGGTCAATATGAGTTGGAACCTTCTCAACAGCACTTAAAAACAAAAACAATCTGACACTGAAACTTTATACTTCAAGGAAAAACACGTAACTTTTCCTTGGCCTCTTATCTCTCATTCTTTCAGAGCTCTGAGCCAGGGAAGTTGAAGCCAGTTCTGGAATGTGGTGGTAAGAGAAACCTAGAACCATCCTCAGGCCATAGGGAGTATTTGACTCAAATAGCTCTTGGATGAGGATTACAATTCAGTTTCTTCTAGTGGGTGCATGCCTGGTTTGATGACTGGGTCAGCCATCTTGAATTTTTGTGGCATTATTTGATTGGTTGTCTCTTTTAGGCCATTTCCTGTGAACTGCACAGTGAATTCATTAACTTCACACATTAATGAAGTCTCAATGAAATGTCAGAGAAATGGGGCCAGATTAAAATGAAAAGATCAGAGAAGAACCTAGAACAATATAGATTGATACAAGAGCCACTAGCCACTTGGGGCTATTAAAATAAAAATAGGATACGATTAAACCTACAATTCCTTAGTTGTAATTTCCATAATCCATGGGGGCATGCAACTATAGGACATGCAGATACAGAACATTTCCACCATCATATGAAGTTCTATTGGACCACACTGATATAATTAATAACTTCATTCTTCTTCAAACTGAGTTTGAATGTCAGTCTCTCAGGGATATAGTACAAACATTTTGGCATTGGCAAAGACATTGTCAGAAGATCTTTTTACAAATCTTGGTTCTTCTAGTTGGCTGAATAGCATTTTTTTTTTTTTTTTTGTCTTCTTGAGCTGCCCTTTGAGATCTTCTTTTACTTCCTCATATCTTCCATTTGCTTTAATAGCTCTACGCTGGAAAGCAAGTTTCAGAGTCTTTTCTGATATCCATTTTGGTCTTTTCCTTCTTTCTTATATTCCTAATTACCTTTGCTTTCTTCCTATATCATGTTCTTGATGTCATCCCACAACTCTTCTAGTCTTCAGTAATTAGTTTCTAATGCATCAAACTATTCTTGAGATGATCTTTAAATTCAGGTGGGATATGTTCAAAGACATATTTTGGCTCTCATGGTCTTGTGTGTAGCTCTCGTGGTCTTGTGTTTTCTCCAGCTTCATCCTAAACGTGCATATGAGCAACTAACCATTTATTCTACATTCTGCCCCTGGCCTAGTTTTGGCTGATGATATGGAGCTTTTCCACCACCTTTTCCACAGCTGTAGTCAGTTTGGTTTCTGTGTATTCTATCTGGTGAGGTCCATGTGTATGTATAGTCATCTTATATGTTATTTTAAAAAGGTATTTGCAATGAAAAAGTCATTGGTCTTGCAAAGTTCTTACCAGGTGATCTCCAGGGTCATTTGTATCACCAAGGCCATATTTTTCAAACACGGATCCTTCCTCAAGTTTCTAACCTTTGCATTACAATCATCAGTAATTATCAATACATCTTGATTGCATGTTTGATCAATTTCAGATTGATCAATTTCAGATTGACCAATTTCAAAGAAGTTGGTAGAACTCTCCAAATTTCTCATCACTGGCTTTAATGATTGGTGCATAAATTTGAATATTAGTGGTATTAACTGGTCTTCCTTGTAGGCATATGGGTATAATCCTATTACAGACAGCATTATACTTCAAAATGATCTTGATGTTTTTTGTTTTTTTTTTGATGATGATGAATGTGACACCATTCGTCTTCGATATGCCATTACCAGCATAGTAAACCATATGATTATCAGATTTGAAATGGCCAAGACAGTCCATTTCAGCTCATGAATACCTAGGATATTGATCTTTAAGTGTTCCATTTCATTTTTGACAACTTCTAATTTTCTTAGATTCATGCTTCATGCATTTCACATTCCAATTATTAACAGATGCTTTCAGCTGTTTTTCCTCATTTTGACTTGTGTCCCATCATCAAATGAAGGTCCAGAAAGCTTTACTCCATTCACATTATCAAGGTCAACTCTACTTTGAGTGAGGAGGCACCTCTTCCTCAATTGCATTTTGAATGCCTTTCAACCTTAGGGTCTCTTTTTCTGGCACTATATCTGACAATATTTTGGTGTTATCCACACTGCTTCAGTATTTAATACTCTAGTGCTATCAGACGGTGTTTCACTGCTATTCATAAGGTTTTCAATGACCAGACATTCAGAAGTATTCTGCCTCTTCTTCTTCCTAGGCCATTCTAGTCTGGAATCTCAGCTAAGACCTGTCCACCATGAGTGACCCTGCTGGTATTTGACATGCCAGTAGCATAGATTCCAGCTTCACAGCAATACACAAGCCACCACAGCACAACTAACTAACAGACGAGTAGTGGAGAATTGCAGTGTGTATCAATAAATACCAAAACAAAAACAAATAACAATTACCATTGCATTCCCCCTCCACTCATGGTAACCCCATGTGTGTCAGAGAAGAACACTTCATAGGGTTTTAAATGGCTGTGGCCTTTCAGAAGCAGATCACAAGGCCTTTCTTCCGAGGTATGTCTAGGTAGATTCTGTTGTTGTTGTCAGGTGCCATCAAGTCGGAACCGACTCACAGTGACCCCATGCACAGCAGAACGAAATAATGTCCGATCCTGGGCCAACCTCACTACTGCTGCCACACTTGAGTCCATCAATGATGTCACCTGGCTGATCCATCTCGTTGGGGGTCTTCCTC